GCTCTGAAGAGGACAGTGCCAGGTCCATGTCCAGGATGGTGCTCTGGGAAGCTCTGCTCTCCTTGATCCTCCTGGTGGTACTGGAGAAATTCTCCTTCTCTGATCCCAAATAATAAAATCCAAACACTGCTAAGGTGGCAGCCACTAGCAGGACCACCTGGTAGGACCTCATACTGATGATCCTCCCCATCAGCTGCCAGTGATTCATGGCCCGGGCAGTGTCACTGCGCCCTCCCAGAGGTCTATAGCGCTCACATAGCGATGGATGGGCTGCAAGAGGAAGAAGCCATGCTGGACGTGAAACACAGATCACGTGACAGAACTGCCAAGGAGCCAATCAGCGCAAAGCTACTACCCCATCCCCGTCCCAGCGGAGAGCCAGATTGGTCCTCAGTGAGCGGGCGGCCATGTTGTGGTTGGCAAGCTGGCTTTTATTCCCTACGCGCAGAGAAGGCAGCTGTCACCGGGCGGCATATTTAAATAGTAGGGAGCAGTGTGTCTCGCTGGCGGTGCTGCAGGGTATATTATAGGGCACGGTGTGCTATTACTGCAGCACGCTCCCTGCTACCTCCTGACAGGAGTTGTGTCACTTACTGTCACCTGTGAGACTGTGTTCCCACAGCATGAAACCCCGCCCACCGTGGATACACCCCGCCCCTCGCCACTCCCTCCATCGAATTCTGTATACTGAGCTGCACTACCACAACAAGTATGCTAGGGCCGTAATCCCGCCCACACTACGAATCCCCGCCCATTCCAACCGCCATTTCACCGCCTCCCAATTTTATGGCAAGACAGGAGGCTTCATATTTGCTTATCTTTCTTTACTGTAACTCCCAGCAGCAAAGAAATGGTTAACAATGTTGTATGGAAAAATCAACCAATAATAACATATCTCAACTACAATATAGTGTCATCAAACTCCTCCCACTTCCTCTTTCTTTGCTGCTTACCTCCCAGGTGAGTCTACTCAATTACATTGCCTTCTGATTTCAGTTATATATATATTTAATTGGTATTTGTAGCTTTAACAATATCTACTTTACCACAGAAATTTGTATATATTTAATGGCTTATTTTTTCTATCCACTGAAAACCTAATTTTTTTAATTTATATATTTAATCCTTACTGATTTTCCCTTTTTTAGCAATTGTGCTTTTTGTCTCATCCCTCATTGTGTCTTAATTTTCAATCCAGGGATTTCCCCTTTAAAAAATTTGCCGACACTCCGTTCGTTACTTCTTTATTTTGTTTCAGTCAGCTGGCCGCGGCTCTCCTCAGAGGTAGAGCCGCAGCCCTTTCTCGTCACTTGCTACGGCCGCGGACTCCATTTCCCATGAGCCCGCGGCAGCCGTTATTTCCCGCCCATTCGCGTCTCCCTCAACTCTGTTTTTTCCCGCCCTTTTTATGAGCGGCGATCTCGCGGCGGCCATATTTCAACCCACTGCTACTTCAGCGGATCCAGTTACTCCAGCACATAGTGTTTCACTCTTGCCTGGCTTGTGACAGGTAAGTTTATGCTTTCTGCCTCCTCCACCCTTTTTCATATGGGCATCTCATTTCCAATACGATCAGTTTACTGATCTTTTCTCATCTGCTTGCAGGTTTGCTCTACAGGACCAGACTGCTGAAATTTGGGTGAACCCCTCTCCCTGATCTGTTTGTATATATATATATTTTTTTTATTAGTGTGGGTAATATACACATATATATTTTATCAACCTTGTGTGGCTGACTATATTTTCCCTATTGTGAGTGAACCCCACTTGCATATAAAATTCTCAAACTGTAAATACTTGAGTGGCTGACACCACTTACTGAGCACACTCCTGTGTGAAATATCTGTGTGGCTGACACCACCTACTGAGCACACCACTGCGTGTAATAGCTGTGTGGCTGACCCCACCTGATTTATTTTCTGGGTGACCCCCATTTTCTCACTGTACATATTTATCTATGTATATATATATATATATATATATATATATATATATATATATAAAAAAAAAAAAATTTAAAAAAAGTTAAATCCTAGTGGGTGATCCCCACCTTTTTCACTGTACAATAATTTTATCCACCAAACTGCCCAATAGGGTGACCCCCTATTATTTGTTTTTACAACCAGGTTTTTTACTTGTGCCAAGCATTTGTGGGTAAACCCCACTGTTTTGACGTTTCGTGGGTGACCCCCACCTCTTCTCATATTGTAATTTGAGTGACCTCATCTTCATTTGCAACCCTAACATTGCCTATTTAATTAAGCATCCCATTATGTCAGACCGCCAAGACCCTGCCATCTCTGCCGAACTTAAAGAATGGCTTTTCTCCACTATAGCGGAGTCAATTCCTAAGGCCTTGGCAGCCTACCATGAACGCACCACAGAGGTACACCCCTCTACTCAACAACCCTCTGACTCGGAGGATTCTCATGTCTCTGACCAAGACAACGCCCCGCGCAAGAGACCCTGGAAAGGGAATAGCGCTACTGCGGGCAAAGGCAAAGCTCCTGCGAAGGTCATTAAACATTCTAACCCATATGTTACGCAGGATGCCACAGACCCTCTGGAGGGTTCCACCTCACGTTTGTCTGGCCATATTTTAAGTGACTATGATCCAAATTACTCTGATGAGGATCCCATGGCGAATGCGCCCCAGGATTCCTAAACATCAGAGTTTGTAAAAGAAACTTTTATGGGACAGGACCCCAAGATTAAAGTGCCTGACTCAGACACCCTCCTGGATGCCTCAGGCCATCCCCTTTTTGACCCAAGGGTGATTCGTCATCCGCGCTCAGCAGAATGGGCTCCCCCGGACCATATTGCTAATTTTTGTAAACTGTGGCTTCGCAAGCCCCTCGAAAAAGAAATTAGAAAAAACTAAGGGCTGAAATGTCCGAGACCTACAATTCCAGGCAAAGTTGCCTTTACCCCTGAATTCGACCCTATGCTGGTCACCTATTTGACAAAATCAGGTAAAGACCCTCGTAAGGGTATTGGGCAGGGCTTGAAAGCGACTCAAGACAAATTATTAGACATTTCAGGCCCTATAATTCAAATATTCATACTGGCAGATGAGGCACTCACAAGCGGTGAACTTGATCCGCATATCATTAGAGAATGGACACAGAGGGCCCTATGTTTATTGGGCAACGCCAATGTGGCAATTTCGATTGAGAGACGTAAAGCGGCACTTTATAAAATCAATGCCAAATTAGACCTGAGTACCAAAGAACTAGGCCCAGAGGCCGATGGTCTTTTGTTTGGTAACAGTTTCATGCGAGACCTCTCCAAGCATGTCTCGGTTTTTACCACACTTAATAAAGCCCAGTCCTCTCTACGTAGGGTTTTCCGCTCCCATAACCATCGTTTTTCTGGGAGAGCTGGTCGCTCCAGGGGCCGAGCTACCAGTAGAGCAGCCTTCACAGGCTACAGGCCCCGACCCACAGATTATTGGTCCACAGGATATACACGACCCTACCACAGACAACTGTTCAGCACCAGAGGCTCGATACGAGGACGTGGCTCTGCATCCCTGCGCGGACGCACTGCTTCAGGTAATGGACCTTGCTTATTTGAAACATATATCTTTCGCAGGTCGCTTAACTTCCTTTTTCCAACAGTGGCAGCTCCTTTCTCAGGATCTTTGGATCCTTCATACAGTCAGAGGTTTCAAGATAGACTTTTTTTACACACCCAGTACAACACTCTCCTCCGACATCCTTAAAGATGTCAAAAGCAGACACTCTGGGGGGGCGTGGCTAGCAGAGCAGCACACAGGACGTGTTTATGTGGAGCTCCTGCTTCACTAATCTAAAATTGATCCAAAAGCCACGAATATACCAAACTGAGACTCCAAAAACCAAGCAACAGCAAGCATTAGACCCCTCTACAGAGAGATGGGGAAGAAAAACAAGAAAATCGCCCGCCTAGAAAGCTCACACCAACCTGACATTAGGCGATCCTTTGAGAAGCCACAGCAGGCTCCACAGGCCAAGATGGCGCCGAGTAGGCCCCGAAACGCCAGCGAGTCCGACTCGTCTATGGAGGAGGAGAACTTCCAGAACGCGACCCCGGCCGCCGCATTATACAGGTCGGAGACATCTGACTCTGATGACTCGCCTTCCACAAAGGGCGACATCAAAAAGCTCCTCCTAGACCTCCGGGAAATGTGGAGGTCGGACCTGGCCGGTGTGAGGACGGAAGTGGCAGACATGAAGGGGCGCCTGGAGGCAGTGGAAACCCGAGAAGGCCAAAGAGACGCCTTACTGACTGGCTCCAGAAGGCAAACGGATGCACTGACACTCCAACTCCAAAGACTCACTCGCACAGTCACGGAGATGGAGACGCGCCACCGCAGAAGAAATGTCAGCATACGCGGAGCCCCTGAGGACATTAGCCCAGAAACCTTATTGGCCTACGCAAACAAAGTGGCCATGGTGATGGGTGCAAAAAAGGAGGGAGACACATGGCCGATTACAACAGCGTTCCGAATTCGGAAAGCCCCGACCGCCCCAGCGGACGCACCGAGAGACATCATAGCCGTTACCCAAGACGTCACAGTCAAAGCGGCACTGATGGCCTCCTCCAGGAAGACCCCCACCGTAGCCGTGGACAACCACCACGTGCAAGTTTTCGCTGATATCCCATTCACAACCCTGATGGAGCGGAGAAAATTTATGGCAATCACCCGCCAACTGAGAGACAAGGGTATCAGATACCGGTGGGGAGCAGCAGGCACACTAGTGGTCCCACAAAAGGACTCAATCCTCACACTGTCTGCGGATGAAAACCCGGCAGGATTCCTCCAGCTGCAGCTGCAAGCACCCACGGACGGAGTGGGCGAGACCGAGAATTGGGAGTCTGAGAACCGAGAGAGCAACACCAGGGCGGAGAGGAAGAAGAGCAAACAGCACCCACACAATACCCTACAGACCTGAACAAGCAAAAGGTTAACCCACGATAATTACCAGATGTGATTGAGATGGTAAAGCTGAATGGCAGAGTGACCGTGAAGGCCGGGTTGTCCGAGCTCCTGAAATCTCCTCTGCAATGCCACGTGTGCAAGCAGCCGCACTCGACCATTCCTCAACTGAAAGAGCATCTGAGGAAGCACTGGGCACAATAGCCATGCAAACTCAAGGCTTGTAGGACACTCAGAGACTCGGTTATTTAGCAAAGGTTTGTTTCATCAGTTTTTAGGTTGTTGTCCAGTTATTGTCCCATTATCAAAAGAAAAAATGTTTCTCTTAATGTACTAGTGGGTATTAAATTCCTATGAAGGTGTCCTGTCACATATTTGTAGGAACAAAACACGTCACATTAGAAAGCTAACTACTATATGTTTTTGTTTTTTTTGCTATAAAAATGACGTATAAAGATGTCGAGAACAGTAGTAAACAGTATTAAACTGATGTATAAAGATGTCGAGAACAGTATTGAATGTTGTACAACATGTAATAATTGCAAGCGGAAATGATCTCGAGCCATTAGACGCTATGTACAGGATGTCAACTCTTACAACCGAAATATCGTGAACAGTACTTGATGTGCATACTTGACCCTACCCTCTTTCATTCTGTACCCCAAGTGTGATTTTAAAATATTTCATAACTCAGTGGTTTTACATTATTCATCATAGCTAGTTTCTATAATTCTATATTAACTCATAAAAATGTGCAATGTTAGTAAGCCATATGAATGTTTCTCTATGTCTACAGTAAAGCCTGCACCAGCTGTTGTGGCAATGCAAGCATACCTGTATATTCTATGCACAACCAAAATAAAGAATTAATAAAAAAAAAAGCAGACACTCTAACCTTGAACACAGAACTGACAAAATTGGTACACAAAGGGGCGATCGAACCTTCGCCTTTCCCTTGCACCTTCCTCAGCAACATATTTCTTGTTCGGAAAAAAACGGGGGACCACCGTCCCATTATCAACCTCAAGGCGTTGAATCGCTTTATCACATACCGTCATTTCAAGATGGAAGAAATCCATCTTCTCAGAGACTTGCTCTGCGTGGGAGACTGGTTCTCCAGATTCGACCTCAAGGATGCTTATCTGACAGTCCCAATCGCACAGAGTCACCGTGCTTTCCTCCAATTCCTATGGCAAGGAGACATTTGGCAGTTCACCTGCCTCCCCTTCGGACTTTGCTCCGCCCCTTGGTGTTTCACCAAGTTAATGAAACCGGTCATGGCGCTCCTTCGCTCTCAGGGCATACGTTCCATTATATATTTGGACGATATCCTGATCATAGTCCAGGACCAACAATTACTTCACAAACACACACACATGACCTCTGCCCTCCTTCAAAACTTGGGTTTTGTCATAGTCAGATCTGGAGCCTTCTCAGATAGTCCAGTTTCTGGGTTTTCAGATAGATTCAGTTCAGGCAACTCTACAGTTACCCTACTCCAAAATCAAAAACATAAAACGAGAGATTCAAAAATTACTCAGGTCACAACGACCTCAACTCTGCGACCTAGCACACGTTCTAGGTCTCCTATCCGCATCAATTCAGGCTATTTTTCCAGGGCCCTTACATTACAGAGCAATGCAACGGCTGAAAACCTCCTATTTACATCGCTCAACCTCTTACGAACAATTCATTTCCCTAACAGACGAAGTTCTCATCGAAATTCATTGTTTGCTTCGCAATATGGAAGCCTGGAATGGGAAAGCGATTTTCGGATCTCAACCAGATTTTATTCTAGAATCCGATGCCAGCCTACTTGGTTGGGGTGCTACTTGCGCCCAAACATACACAGGGGGTCTCTGGTCCCCTTCAGAACAGGCACTTCACATAAATTGTCTCGAGCTCATTGCCGGATCCTTCGCGATCTGCAGCTTTGCCAAAGAAGCCTCCAACTGCTCTCTGGTACTTCGGATGGACAACATCTCCGCAGTACGGTACGTAAACCGACTCGGAGGGTCCAAATCGAAACTACTGTCAGACCTCACCAAGGATCTGTATCAGTTCTGCTTAGACAGGAATCTATCTATTCGGGCAGAATATCTCCCGGGACCCGACAACTTAGTCGCGGATTGGTTTTCACGTCACTGGAGGGATGCCAGCGACTGGCAATTAGATCCTCTCCTATTCCACCGCATTCACCTATTGCGGGGACCGCTCACCCTCGACCTCTTTGCGTCTCGGCTGAATCGTCAGACAGACGATTTTTTCAGCTGGTTACCAGACCCTCTATCTCTAGCTGTCGACGCCTTTCTCCAACCTTGGTCGCGGAGCCTATGCCTTCCCTCCTTTCTCAATGATTCAACGGACTCTCCACCAGGTCAAATCACAGGGTGTCAGAGTTGTGATAGTTACCCCTCTATGGCGTGCCCAGACGTGGTTCCCCACCATTCTGGAACTTTCCACGGATTATCCCATCCTCCTACCTCGCTCACATCGAGTCCTCAAGAACTCAACGGGCGACTACCACCCGCTCGCCTTACAAGACCACCTTCAATTAGTGGCCTGGACAGTTTCAGGGGTACTTGGCATGTCGCAGGACTTTCAAGAACTGCTCAAACACTCCTGTGGGATTCATGGGCTCCAGGGACCAGGCGAACCTACCTCGCCGCATGGCGAGTTTGGGTCAGCTGGTGTCTGGAGAGGAATTTCGATCCCGTTTCAGCATCTCTTTCATCCATTCTAAATTTTTTATCATCACTTTTCGATCAGGGTAAATCATACCGGTCGATTAATATTTTTCGTTCCGCCATTTCGGCGGGCCATGACCCTATTGATAACTCCTTATTTGGAAAACACCCTTCTGTGTGCAGACTTTTACGAGGCATTCGTTTGACAAGGCCACCCTCTGCCAAATATTCTGAGTTCTGGGATATATCTCAAGTTTTCGCACTGTTAGAGTCCTGGCCCCCTAACGAGGCCTTATCCCTTCGACAACTCTCTGTAAAACTAGCCCTGCTACTGTGCCTGGTGTCCTTCCGCAGAGTTTCTGACGTTCAAGCTTTCGATTCACACGCTGTCTCCTTCGCACCGGAAGGTGTCCGATTTATGATTACTAGGCGCACTAAGACGAACTCCTCGTCTGTTTTTTACCCGTACTTTCCCGACAGGCCGGCCCTCTGTGTGGCGCTGTGTACCCGTTGTTACACGGAGACAACTGCCACCCTACGTTCCCCTACCGGCCCCCTTTTCATCTCTTACGTCAGACCTCACAAACCGGTCTCTTCCCCCACTATCGCTCGCTGGATAAGATGGTGTCAGGAACCAGGAACCAGACAGAGACAGATCTAGATGCAAAAACACCTTTATTTAATAAACAACAAAGAAATCACCAAAAGCAAAGTCCAGGAGGCAAGCAGGGATCAGTCACCAGAGCGGGTAGTCAGACGAGCCAGGATCAGGAGCACGGAGGTCAGCGGAGTCAGGAACAAGGCCAGAGTCAGGAACCAGGAGCAAACAGGAAACACAGGAACAAGGAGACTTCTGGGGCACAGGAAACCACGCAAGGGCCAGGAGGTTCTGGGATTAGCTGCTTAAATAGGCTGAACTGATTAGCAGCAGGGTTGATTATTATTCTCAGGTGAGTAACCGTGGCAACATGCTGAAGGAGCTGATAGTTAATTACAGCTGAAACCTCAGACACTGAAAAAGGAAGGGTGGCTGTTTAAAACAGCAAAGAAACCCTGACAGTACCTCCCCCTCAACGACTCCCCCCATTTCTGCTGGTGGGTCCGGGCTTCATGGGGAAGCGAGCGTGATAGGAACGAAGGAGGGATGGTGCATGGACATCAGAGGCTGGAACCCAGGAGCGTTCCTCTGGACCGTACCCTTTCCAGTGCACCAAGTATTGGATCTGTCCTCTGAAGACTCGTGAGTCAATGATGCTGCGTATTTCATATTCCTCATGATTGTCAACCGGAACAGGACGTGGACGTGGTACTGAGGTGGTGTAATGATTACATACCAATGGTTTCAAGAGGGAAACATGGAATACATTAGAGATGCGCATGTTAGCAGGAAGGTCAAGTGCGTAAGCTACAGGGTTAACCCTTCGAAGTATACGAAATGGCCCAACGTATCGGGGTGCCAGTTTTTGTGAGGGAACACGGAGCCGTAGGTTGCGAGAAGACAGCCAGACCCTCTCTCCGACTTGATAGGTAGGTGCAGGAAGGCGTCTGCGGTCGGCCTGGAGTTTGTAGTTCTGCATTGCGCGTTGCAAAGAGATCTGAACCTGCACCCAAGTGGAACGGAGTTCCCTGAGATGTTCCTCCAATGCCGGTATCCCTTGTGGCATGAACGTATCAGGCAATATGGATGGTTGAAAGCCATAGTTCGCCAAGAACGGGGATAGCCGGGAAGAGGCATTAATCGCACTATTGTGGGCAAACTCCGCCCAGGGTAGCAGATCAGACCAGTTGTTCTGGTGGTCAGAAATGTAGCAACGCAGAAACTGTTCCAGTGTTTGGTTAGCTCGTTCCGCGGCACCATTGGATTGCGGGTGGTAGGCAGAGGAGAAGGAGAGCTGAATTCCCATTTGTGTACAAAAAGCTCTCCAAAATCTGGACACAAACTGGCTACCCCTATCTGAGATTATCACTTTGGGTAACCCATGCAAACGAAAGACCTCCCGAGCAAAAATTGTTGCAAGTTCCTGAGAAGTTGGTAGTTTTTTCAAGGGAATGCAATGCGACATCTTTGAGAATCGATCAACAACCATGAGAACTACTGTATTGCCACGGGAGACCGGAAGATCTACGATAAAATCCATGGACAAGTGGGTCCAGGGTCGTTCACCATTAGGTATGGTTTGCAGGAGACCCACTGGAGGGTGTCGTGGGGTTTTATTTTGGGCGCATACAGGACAGGCAGCTACAAAAGCAGTGACATCCGAACGGAGACTAGGCCACCAAAATTGCCGAGAGACGGACCAGATTAATTGGTTTTTGCCTGGATGTCCAGCTGCTTTGGAGTTGTGATAAGTACTTAATAATTTAGTACGGAGATGGATAGGTACAAAACAACGGCCATTAGGTTTCTCTGGAGGAACATTACTTTGTGCAGCCAGAATCTCCTCGCCTAGGTGTGAGGTGAGGCTAGTACGGATGGTGGCCAGTATATGATCCAGAGGAATCACAGGAGTAGGGGTTATCTCCTCTCTAGATGGAGGGGAGAACTGTCGAGACAAGGCATCAGCCTGAATGTTTTTAGTACCGGGCAAGTAAGAAACCACATAATTGAATCTTGATAGGAAAAGAGCCCATCTAGCTTGTCTGGGGGAAAGTCGCTTAGCTTCAGAAAGATATGTCAGATTCTT